ATAAACTGCAATAGGTGTAGAGCAACACTTACAGTCAAGTCACAGTAATACAACATTTTATTGTTTTAAAATATCCTAAAGTACAGAAACAATTATTATTCATTTTAGCTCATCTCGTCAAAAGGGCCAGGCTAGCTAATCTCATCACTTGGCGTTGTCTGTTGTCATCAGTTGACTTTTACAAAAATCATCTTCTCTGAAACTTCTGTGCCAATTGAAACTTAACTTAGTCACAACCATCATTGGGCTATTTAGTTTTTTAAATGTGTCTCATTCCCCCCCTGCCAGCAAGACAGGATCAAAGAATAAGTCAACATGGTCGAAATTGCCCTTAAATGAGGATTTTTGTCTGGCTTCGACAAAGTAAAATAAGCGAGACTTAGGTGTGCTGTTGCCAGTGTAGGCAGCGCTGTAAACAATGAATTTGTTTGTGATTAAGTTAGTTTTATGGGGAACCACTAGTGGTAGATCAGTAATATATAGTATGCTGTTGTATTAGCATTGGCACATCTCATTCCCATTGAGATAATTGGTCCCACCCCCTCAGTCATTGTCTATTGACTTTGAAACTTTTGCTTACTTTACATGTATTAGTTTGTGATTAGGTCAATAGTTTATTACCAACTTATTTGTATTTTTGCTTATTATCTTGAAAACTATAATAGATAGATAGAACGTTAAATTGCAAAAATGATCAGTAAGACAAGTCTTCTAATAGCTTAACTAGTCAGAAAGATTTGGTCAACTCCTCATATTAGTATGGTAGTTGTTCCTAAGTGACACTAAAAGAAGGAAAAAATTATCAGCAGGACAAGATCTTTAAATTTTCTAATATGTTTTAATTGGTCAACTCATAATGTGGGTTATTGCTCCTAAATGAAGATTTTTAACTTTTTTTTTTGCATTTTTGCCTAAACTACAGTAGTTAAAGAAAAACTGTACACAACAAAAATTATAAGCAAGACAAGGTCTACAAATATATCAACATGGCTGAAACTGTCAGTCAACTCCTTATAATATGATAGGATAAAATTAAATTGATATATAATATGATAGACTGCCAATAATTATATATTTATATATCTTCAAAATCATATCAGAGGTAAATTATTGATGAATGTCAAAGGATACAGGTTAAAGTATTAGACAAAAACCTATACTGATCATAATGTTAGGTTTGAGTACTGCATCTCATCACTGGTAAGCTAGCGTCACACTGCTATCAGATGTCATCACTGGTAAGCTAGCGTCACACTGCTATCAGATGTCATCACTGGTAAGCTAGCGTCACACTGCTATCAGATGAATAACAGCAATAAAAGTTTTGTTTGTTTGATATACAGTTATTTTTTGTATGATTCCATTGATGTTGTTTTGTACATCCATCCAATATTCAGTTTAAACTATACAAATATATCCAGTCTGTATTTTCTTTTTTTATTATTTAACAAGAGTCAATGGAAGAAAATAGACAAATTAGAGATACATACATACCATAAAGAATATTCATTGACTAAAATAGTGATATTCAAAATCAACATGAAATGTTTATTGATTCAATAATAAACAAAAAAATCCAAAAAAAAATAAAGTAGTTATGCAATGTGTAGCACATTATATTTTGTCCAAAGTATAATGTTTTTAGTTCAGATAATTGTCTAGATTGGACATTTATAATTTATGACCAGAAAGCTTTCAAGATCAGAATATTAGACTATTTTAATATTCCCTGATGGATTTTGAACTGGAATGGTTAATTTTACTATGTCATAAACAATTAAGCTTAATATTTCAAATTCCTTTCATTTTGATTATTTTAGCATGCAGTGAAAGAAGATTTAGCATAGAACAACCAAGAATTTAATTTGTCAGAAGATAAGTCAAAGACACAACAGACACAAGGTAAATAACTCAGAGTACAAAATCTCTGTTTACTATAGTATATCCTGACAACCTTAGAATTATAAACCAGGAGGTTAAACAAAGTTTTTATGCCCCTGCCATGGCAGAGGGGGCATTAGGTGTTACTTCTAAATTTATTTTTTCTAAACTGAAAAGAACCTCCCACCTCTCAAACACTCCTTGAAAATAAAAAAATCTGATACCAAAAAGATAATTTTAGAATAAATCTGTTACATATGATTTTTTATGCTATGCTATTTAAATATATATAACCTGCTTGATTGTATAGATGTGTACAAAGGAAATCATCTCTGTATTTACCAGTGTTTTCACAACAATAAATCAAGTGTAAATTATACACATATTAACAATGGTTAGTCACTATTGCATTGAATTGTGAAACTTTGTATCAAAGATCTTTACTACTGTGATATTACAAGATAATATTCTTTTATCCTCAAATGATATACATTGTAGTAGGAGTTGTTTCATAAAAGTATTTCTTTGATAAAAGCTTAGTGGGTAGATGTATGGTGGATGCTACTGGTTTTGTTATGAAAATACTCAACTAGAGGTTGAAACTAGCACAATTTTATCAAGGTCCAGGCCTCAAAATTTGGAGTACAATTATCATACTCAGACTCAGAATTCAAATAATCAAAATACTTGATTTGGTGTTTTGAGCACAAATTTTGTACTGGAATAACTGAGTAAAGTGTTATGACTGCAGTCTCAGGACTTGAAATAAAATTCAAGAAAGATTCTAGTTTATTTGTTTGTTTGTGTATAACACCACTTACAGATTCCTTAGCTATTTCATGGCAACCAGTTTATTTTTGTCATTTTGTTGTGGATGCAAGACATAGCGCTCCTTCATTCCATCTTCAGCTTCAGCAAACATTTAAGTTCAGTCTGTGGTTAAATTTTTGTAGTTATCAATAACTTTGTCAAACCTGCATGAAATTTTATGGAACTTGATCAGAAACTTTTTTGTTATTAAGAAATAATGTCCAAATCCAAATTTTGAAAATATATTTTTCAGTTTTCAATTTTTTACTGATAAGTAGACTTCTTTTTTCTTGGCAATTAACATTAACATAGTCTCAGACTACATTTTTTGAACATCAATAAATTTGTTAAACCTTTTAATGGCATGTTTTCAAACTTTGAAATAAGCTTCTTCAAAATTTCAAGAAAAAGCACCTGAAGAAAAAAGTTCAATTTAAAAATTTTGTTTTCCTGTAATTTACTGATAAATGGACTTACTTTTTGGTGACCAACAAAGTTCAACTTTACACTTTTACACAGAAGCAATCACAGGTGAGATACAGGGTCCTGCAGAACCCTTTACAAATTTTTGATTTAGGAATTGGACCTCTGGCAGGAAAACCATCAATCCTTGTCAATTAAGATCGGAGTAAACACCTCACCATGACCAGGGTTCAAAAGCCTCAAGGTTCACAACCTCAAAATTGACAGGCTGGATTAGGCAGTTTCAAGAGAAATTCTGCCAGGCCTTGTGCCTATCATTATGAAATGTAATGAATTTAAAATATTTTGAATATTGCATTTATGATTGTGGAGTTCTATTTGCCTATATAATTAACTTCTGGGAAACATTTTGGCAGGAAATCTTTCAGAGTTGAAGAAAAACATATTTGCATTTGAACCTGAAAATGTAAATAGTTTTCAGACTTTTGATTTCTTTTTGTCCACCGCGCAACGTGTTGCGGGGGACATAGAAATACAGGGCGCCCGTTTGTGCATATGTCCATCGGGTCTTGTTAGCGCTCTCACGTGTACACTTCTTGCCAGATTTTTACGAAACTTATATCATAGGTTTATATCAGCAATGTCTTGGAAGAGTTCCAAAATCAGTGCTGATCATTTATTTTTAAAAGAGTAATGCCCCTTGGAAACATTAATTATATGGAAAATTGCATCGTTAGCGCTCTCATTTGTTCAATTCTAGCCAGATTTTTATGAAACTTATAAGATTATATCAGCAATGACTTGGAAGAGTTCGAAAATCATGGCCGATCAATTATTTTTTTAAAAGTTATACCCCTTGGAAACATTAATATGGAAAATTGCATTGATAGCTCTCTCATTTGTTCAGTTCTTGTCAGAATTTTATGAAACGTATAGAATAGGTTTATATCAGCAATGTCTTTGACACTTTCGAAAATAAGTTCTGATCAAATATTTTTAACAAGTTATGCCCCTTGGAAATATTAATTATAATGGAAATCACATTGCATTTGCTCTGAAGCCTTCAATTCTCTAAAATATTAATAAAAAGTCTTATAGAACCAAAAAAAAAAAAAACTGCTTTTTTTAGTTATTGCTCTTGTACCTTGAATAGATAACATATGTGCAAAAGGGGGACATTGGAACTCTGTTCTTTTATTCAAATAGATTTCATCAGAAAATTGTTAAAAGAATCAGATCTGTCCTATTTTCATGTCCTTGCCAAGTTGTCCCTTGAGTGACCAAGTTGTGATTATGATATTTATAGTGGAAAACAAGTATATTATATTCTGAATATATTTAGATGGAAATTGCATGCAAAATTTTGATACGGGTATGATTTATAATGGTTTATAATAAAAAATTTATCCCATTAGAAATTATACAAAGACTTAGAGAAGTATTATATGAAACCTGTAAAATATGTATTCCAGTGAAAAAATGCTTAAATGGAAGTTAAAACCTTGCCAATATATGATTTTTAATCAAACTTCTAAATGTCACCTGAACTGATCTAAACCAAGAGAATCGTGCCTTCAAAATGTTTAAAACAAGTTTTATTTTAGGAAATAGATTTCCTGTTTAAAAATTGGAGCAGATATTGGCCAAAAATCTGTCACGGAATAAATGTATAAACATTTTTTAAGTAAAGAAAACCTTTTAAAAATTACTTCAGAATAAAAATGTCATATCTAGTAATTCTATACATAAATAGCAAACACCTTCATGATGTCAAATGTGACCTTAAAAAGTATAGAAGAGTAATTATTTTATAAAGTACATACATGTGTAGTCTATTTAATTTATGAATGGAACCACCTAATCTCCTTTTCAATCTATTACCGATGACAAACACCAATGAATACAAACATTTATGAGGTTTACTTACCTGTAAATAGTTGTGGTCAGATTATACAAAATCTCTCCAAAGACAATTTGTCTATGATAATCCTATAACAGGTGTTCATGTGAAATTCTCATACAAAGCTTAGTGGACCTTTGTTTCATGGAATAATGTTTTTTTGTGAAGGATTTATATTGTTAAAGAAATGACCAGGTACCTTAAATATGTAAATATATGTATGTCAGAAGATAGAAGCTTTTATTTTATGTTGGTCATCAGTGTAATTTTTGTGATGCTGATTTCAAAGTTCCTGTAAAAACTTAAGACAGTAAAATTTTATAAAGACATGCTCATATGAGTTTGAGAAACTTATACACTCTTCAGGTGACATTATTGTAGGAAGAGATTGGATTGAGAGAATTTGAAATTTAGAATGAGAACTTGGGAGTACATGTAAAAGGATGTAAATGAATAAGGATACTATGTCGAACCAATGATAATTGATTATCAACATGAGGGAAACCATATGCCTGGCCAGCACCTTTTATTAAAGCATAATCAGGTTTTTCTGCAGAACTGAAAAAATTTGAATTTTGTATATGGAAATTGGATAATGTATATTTCTAATTTAGCTTAAAGCTTTCAACATCTTAAATCATTATAATTTTAGAAAACAAGAATTCAAACTTTCAATTAAAAAATTCAGTTCCTCCACTGTTCTAAATATGGGAGGTTATACTGAATATGAATAAAAGAAGACATTAGGAGGTAAAGCATGCAGTCTTATATATATAGTTGATATTCATTGTTTATGCATTTTCCATTTGCTAAGCACTGGTATTTTACATATATGTAATTTTTGTTACCTTCATTTCAACTACAAATCACATCATTGATCTTTAAAGCATACCATGAGATGTATTTTTTGAAATATTCCCTGGGGTATTTCATGTTTGCCAGATTATCTTTCAAATAACAGGAGCAATAGAAATATGTAATTCTCACAGCATGCATCTAGTTTAAGCAAGATTTTAAGATGCAGGCAAAAATAATAATTCCAATAATGACATTCAATTTTTTAAAGTTCTGTGGTCAATTTGTTAACCTAAACAGTAAATTTCTAAGGTTAAATGATATGGAAAAGAAGAGATATGGTGACACAATAATCCCAACACGAACTTGAAAGAAACCAAAAGCATAGGATCATGTACATCATATCAAAGTCACAATGATGCCTTAAACACAGCAAAAGCTCACAGCCCACTGCAGTTGAAGACAGCCTCTAGCATATTTTCTTTACAAGAAGCAGAAAGGGGTCTAAAATTGGAAAAGTAAAACAAATGTTGTTGTTTGTTATTGATGATAGTAAACCATAACTTAATATAGAAAAATTCTAAATCAAGTCAAAATTATTAGGATTACAAGAGAAAACAATAACTCTGTTATCAGTGCGTTAAGTTTTTTTGACCATACACTATAAGTATGTCACAATATATAGTATAATTTATATAATATACATTTTAGAGATCATTATGGTATTATAAAACTGTTATGTTTCGTAATAAAAGTGACAAACTCATAAAGTTCTCAATCAAATTCCACTGGAACTGATCAATATATGTGATCATGCACATACTTATATTTATACCTTTAGGGGGGAGACTAAAATACTATATGGTTAGAATAGAAAAGCAAGTAACTTTTCAGTGATGGGTCCAGGATATTCTATTAGGGCGCCCTTAGAGACCCATTGAGAAAAGGAGTAAAAAATCAGCAAAGTGAACTAAAAACAAATTTTGGGCCAAAAAATGGTGAAAGTGTTTTTTTAGGTAATGTTTTGTAAATAAGTGGAAACAGGATACAAGACATTCTAAGTTTCAATTCCATATAATGCTTTCTGGAAGGTAAAGTAATTCCAACTAAATAAAAAAAGGGTCTTATAAGAAAATATGATACATCTGTAAATAAGAGGGAGAATATAATAAGGTAGTATTCCTCAGAGCATGTTGAAAATAGGTGAACATTACACAAAGATGATATCTATAACCACTGTATGAGAAAAGAATGAAATTCCTAAAAGAGATTATTTCTCTAATTAAAATGAGGGTAAAAAATATGTGAAAAAATAAAAAGTAGAAGAATAGGGACAAGATACGTAGGATAATAGAGACAGACAAGTAGGAAAATAGGGACAAGATAAGTAGGAGAATAGGGACTAGATAAGTAGGAGAATAGGGACAAGATACGTAGGAGAATAGGGACAGATAAGTAGGAAAATAGGGACAGATAAGTAGGAGAATAGGGACAGATAAGTAGGAGAATAGGGACAGATAAGTAGGAGAATAGGGGCAGATAAATAGGAGAATAGGGACAGATAAGTAGGAGAATAGTGACAGATTAGTAGGAGAAGAGGGACAGATAAGTAGGAGAATAGGGACAAGATACGTAGGATAATAGAGACAGACAAGTAGGAAAATAGGGACAAGATAAGTAGGAGAATAGGGACAGATAAGTAGGAGAAGAGGGACAGATAAGTAGGAGAATAGGGACAAGATACGTAGGATAATAGAGACAGACAAGTAGGAAAATAGGGACAAGATAAGTAGGAGAATAGTGACAGATAAGTAGGAGAAGAGGGACAGATAAGTAGGAGAATAGGGACAAGATACGTAGGATAATAGAGACAGACAAGTAGGAAAATAGGGGCAAGATAAGTAGGAAAATAGGGACAGATAAGTAGGAGAATAGGGACAGATAAGTAGGTGAATAGGGACAGATAAATAGGAGAATAGGGACAGATAAGTAGGAGAATAGGGACAAGATAAGTAGGATAATAGAGACAAGATACATAGGAGAATAGGGACAAGATAAGTAGGAGAATAGGGACAGATAAGTAGGAGAATAGGGACAGATAAGTAGGAGAATAGGGACAAGATAAGTAGGAGAATAGGGACAGATAAGTAGGAGAATAGGGACAAGATACATAGGAGAATAGGGACAAGATACGTAGGAGAATAGGGACAAATAAGTAGAAGAATAGGGACAAGATAAGTAGGAGAATAGGGACAAGATACGTAGGAGAATAGGGACAAATAAGTAGAAGAAGGACAAGATAGGGGAAGAAGATACCAAGGGGGAAATCAAAACACATTAGTAAAAATTAAACGTAAAAGACTGATGAAAATAATAGTCCATTCTCAACAAAGCATAGCACAGAAAGCTAACGATTTAGCAACATGAGCACACCAAAAATTGAGGTTTGACTTTGGTGTTCTGGAAGAATCAGCAGTTAAATAAATGTAAAAGAGGAGACAGACAGAGAAAAAGGAAGTTTCTTGTATATGTTATATTTTTTACTGGTGTGATAAAAAGATTTACTAAAAAATGACAGTATGATTACAAATGATATAAGGAAACAATTATTTATTTATGATGTTAGTGACGCAGTTAGAAAAAATTGAACCAAAAAAGAAATCTCAGAGGTGTTAAAATCTACAGACATAACATGTTTAGTATATTAAACTATCAAAATATAGCTAATAAGTTATGAACTAAATACTATACAGGTAACAACTTTTATTGATACATAGCTTTCATACCAGGTAAATAAAGTTTTACTATAAGATTAAAAACAAACAATCATAGTACACAAAACATAGGTAAAGAGATCCCAGGTGTACCAAGACTGGGTTATTGCAATGACTTTTAGATGTTTGATAAGGGCATGACTTGAATACTGGCCAATTTCAATTTTAGAAAGAAACATTGTTTCAGTATGGAATTTTATAATTGGATGTATAATATATTTCTATAAGGTAAGGTTGTTTTGCACATATTCTTCAACCTTATACTTCTTGGTCAATTACGTTTTTAGTTTACTTAAATCTGTAAGTTTTGAAAGAATCGCTGCAATTAAAATTAAGTATATCATGAATTTCCAAATTTATTTCTAGTTTGAAGATATAATTTGAAAATGTTAAACATTTAAAGGTCAAGAATGAAAGGTTCACCAGTTCCCTTCATAAAACTTCCTTCTTAAGTTTTACAACCACTAAAATTGTGAACAATTGGATTCTTTTATAGTGTATATTACTGTATCTGTATTTTGTTTAAGTGTTACTACATGTAGTATCATCATTAAATTTGGTGGTAATGTGTTCAAAAAGGATAAAATAGCTCAAGAGTTGTAATATCTGTGTGTGTCATTAAAAGATAACCATAAGATAGTAATGTTGTGACACTTCAATTTTTGATAAAATCTCTTAAACTTTACAAACTGTATAAACTAGCACTCAATCTGTGATACTTTGTCCCTGCTTTAATCTATGGAGGTTGATCTGGACCATTGAGGGAGATGAGATATGATAATGTTTAGGATGGTTAAGGATTTTGTGGAGTATATACTGTAAATTCAGATATTTTTGCAATGTTATTATTATTGCAAATATTGGGAGGGAATCTGTTTCTTAAAAAAAAATTTCAGACCATAATTTTTATGCAGCATTTGTTCATTTTTGAAAAATTGCAATAATAGATGCATACAAACATTTCTGAATTTATAGTAACTTACATTTACTTTCACCTTTCTAAAGTATACTTCTTTGTACCTTTGATGTCCTTTGTTCTGGTTTTTAGATTTTCTGTATTCGTACTCCCCAAAAAGTATATGTCTGTTGATCCTGCCTCCAGACTGACCTTAAGTTTTATTGCCATTCCAAAAAATTATGGATTTTAATGCCTCTTTTGTCTAAATATTTATATTATAAGATGTAAATAATGTTTGAAGAAATTATAAAGTACCCAGTATCCTACTTTACCATGATTTTTGATTGACAGAAATATACATCTGTAAATTGATTCCCACCCTGGTTAATCACCTTAAATCTCCATTGAACACCTGTTTTCTAATTTCTTTAATCTTGCACAATGCCTTCAGGTTTCACTGTGTAGGTGTTCATTTATGTAAATTACCTGAATTTTTGACATTTCAGAAATGTTTTTAATAGATGATATATTAGATAACATCAGCTAATAATCAGGTACTTACAGACTAATATATGTGGAATTGAATATGATTTATACTTATAACAGGCTTTGACTTTGTTAAAGTACTGGAACACATCATTTGTTAAAAATCTAAATTCTTTGTTTTGTTTTTAAAATTGACCTTTGCTTTGAATATTGTATTCTGATGTGAAATTTGCCAAAAATCT